AGAGAGGTGATTCTGCCCCTCTACTCTGCTCTGGTGAGACCTCACCTGGAGTACTGCGTTCAGCTCTGGAGCCCTCAGCACAAGAAGGACATGGAACTGTTGGAGCGGGTCCAAAGGAGGGCTACAAAAATGATCCGAGGGCTGGAGCACCTCTCCTATGAGGACAGGCTGAGAGACTTGGGCTTGTTCAGCCTGGAGAAGAGAAGGCTGCGGGGAGACCTGATTGCAGCCTTTCAGTACTTAAAGGGATCCTATAGGAAAGATGGGGACAATCTTTTTAGTAGAGACAGCAGTGACAGACGAGGGGTAATGGTTTTAAACTAAAACAGGGTAGGTTTAGGCTGGATATAAGGAAGAAATTCTTTACAATGAGGGTGGTAAAACACTGGAACGGGTTGCCCAGAGAGGTAGTGGAGGCCTCATCCCTGGAAACATTCAAGACCAGGCTGGACAGGGCTCTGAGCAACCCGATCTAGTTAGTGGTGTCCCTGCTCGCTGCGGGGGGGGGGTTGGACTAGATGACCTCTAGGGGTCCCTTCCAACCCAAAACTTTCTATGATTCTATGATTCTAAATCCTTTTAGGTAAATACACACAAATTCCTAATTCTTCACAGATTATTTCCCTGATAAACTGTGCCATCGCCTTGTGCAAGTATTTTCATAACCCATATTCTCTGAACGTTCAGAAAAGAAAGAAAACGGCCAACATTCACCTGCATTAGAAGACAGGCATGAATACTGAATTTCCATGAACGAGAAGTGAATGAGAAATTAGCAGTGACTTCAAAACACAGTAGAAGCAAAGCAAAATTCTTAAACAAGTAGATAAAATTCTTCAAAAGCATGCAAGAGAGTAGACATCAGTTTATCTTGTACCTAAAGATGATCATGTAAAACTGTGCTTGAAGCACCTGTGCTTGTGTGGGTGGGTGTAAACAGCACCCTTCTGTGCCAGCACGACGCATGCACATGAACACAGGAGTTGCCATGGCCCCATCTTAACGGTTCTGCTAAGCAGACTCTTTAAACACCTAACCCCATTTTTAAAATGACACTTAGAGATCAACAACGAATGGGTCCGTACAGTGCCAGGCATTATACTGGCACAAACCAACTTCACCTCACAAGTACTTCAAAGTATTTGCCAACTGCTGTGCTCCACAGCCTCTCACCTTTATCTGATGGAGGGGACCAGCAGATCGCGTTGCATAAAGACAGGGCAGACAGAGTATCTCCGCTTGGGAGAAGCTTATCAGGTCGTGCAGTTGCAAAGAGCACACGCTGCTTTATGTCAGAGGGACAGACAGGGGACTCAGCACCAGGCTGCAGCTGGTAGCACAGTGAACCTTCTAGGAGGTCTTTTGTGCATGAGTCATCCCATTCAGACTGCTCCATGCCAGACCTTTCATCCCACAAAGCACACACAGGGATCCAAATATGCCAGGCTAGGAAATTGAGATTGATTACACTGGGCAGATACCATCAGGCAGGGCAGGAGCTGCTTCGTGCCCAGTACCTCATATTCAACTTGTTGGGACTACCTCAACACTTCTATTTCTACACTGGCTTTCCAGCACACTTACTGGTACCTAGACAGCCTTATAGACAGAAGAAATACAGGTATCCAAGGGGTCTAGAGCTGCAGAAAATCCAAGGGAGTCAGGATGTGGATGAAATTCATGTGGAAAGGATTTGGGGCAACCTAGATGAGAGCTGCAATTAGATATTTTTGTTTCCCCAGAGCAGTCCTCTCACAAGCTGCTTTCAGCTACTGTCGTGAACTCATGTGTCACATTGCATCTCAGTCTTGCTACAGCTTTGCTCAGATCCCATTCTGCACCAGACCCTACGAGCGAGAGTCACGCCCTGTCTCCTCTCTACAGTTCCTCTGAGAGGTCATTTCGTGAAGGGGAGGGAAAAGACCACTTTCATGGTAATCTCACTAGTGCCATCAGGGCCATTCAAGCAGGACAGCAGTGGCCTTGGTGGCCTCTGTTTTCATCCCCTATTTCTGCCAACCCTTGGTGCGGCAACCCTTAGAGCTGTTGTCTCCTACCCTTTGATGTCACTGTGTGAGATAACAATGACACTGATCAATCAGCTGACTCAACACGCTAAACATGTTGCCCATGTTCTCCTCTGTGACCAGAGTTACCTAACAAGCAGCTGCACTAAGCAGACAAAACTTTCTCATAATAATAATAAAGTAGGCACTCACCTAAAAGCAAATGCACTCCCTTTCTATGTTTACATATACAAACCAAAGCCCAGATTCTTCAATTACACTAAGGATTCTGCAGCATTTTGTACCTTCCCATCACCTCTATATTTTAAAATACAAACATGCAAATATTATGCAGATATAATATTTATATTCTTCAAGAAAGCCACTGCATGTCCACATTATCACGTCACAGCTCTCAGTGCTGTATATTAATGTGTTTTCAGATGCAGAAACAGCTGAATTACTCTAAATATTGGATAGTTTCAGGCTTAAATGAAATACTGTACAAAACCAAGACAAATTATCCTCTTCTGTTACCTTCAACACTTAGTATCTACAAAATAACTTGAAAGAATTCTTTTTAGTACAGTTATTAATGAGATTACTTTATTGTATTGTATTATCTGTCAATCCCTATCCACCACCAATGGCTCTTGAGACTATAAAATGAATTAGGCCTGAAAGGTATCATGTTCCTAGAACATTCATGAAAATCAATAATGAAGATCCTACTAGTGTGCACAACGAGAAAAAAGCACAAAACCTTCTTCCATCATTTGAAATTGGAAGGTAACAGCACCAATTGCCATGCACTTATTTCTGGATTCAGCACATGGACAGCTTGCGTCAGCTGCAGAACATGCTGCCTCTTGCGCAAAGCTGGAACATTAAATGAACCCGGGTAGGGATGAGAGCGTGGAGAGTGTAAGGAGACCGGTCCGGATGGAGACCAGTGATGAGTGGAGTCCCTCAGGGGTCCGTACTGGGACCGGTGCTGTTCAATATATTCATCAATGACATGGACAGCGACATCGAGTGTACCCTCAGCAAGTCTGCAGATGACATCAAGCTGAGTGGTACGGTCGAGACACCAGAAGGACGGGATGCCATCCAGAGGGACCTGGACCAGCTGGAGAGGTGGGCCTGTGTGAACCTCATGAGGTTCAACAACGCCAACTGCAAGGTCCTACACCTGGGTCGGGGTAATCCCCGCTATCAATACAGGCTGGGGGATGAAAGGATCGAGAGCAGC